CTTGTTGTTAGGAGGACATAAACATAACATATAGCTAAATTTACAAGCCTTGAACGAATGAAAAAAGATGGTGGAAAGAGTGCACACGGTGCAGTTACAGTTCACAAGTACATCAGTTCTAAATCACATCAAAAACAGATGTTTTATGTTTTCAGACTTTGGTACTGTCAGACAATATTTTGCCAGATAAAGAAGAAAAAGCACAGAGATGGGCAGGATGAAAGTGGATAGGCTTTCACAAACTTGACCCCTTGGATGTAATTCAAGCCTAAACCAATTATCTTAGCTTTTTACAGAAAGTATGGCTCACTAAATAGAGGAAACGTCTCCAATCAAGAACTGCCAAAGAAGTGCCATGGCTGCATTACTCTTAGACTGGAGTTTGCTAACAAAGAACAATGTGTTTTTCTGAAGTGCTTATGTGTCACAGTGTTGCAAGCTGCACCGATTTAAATCCTGAAAATTATGTCCCCTTAAAGCACACTGTGACTGCCATTTGCTTTTGTATAGACTTGGACAGCTTACATGGTCAAATGTAGTTCCCTGTGCCACTGCTCTGTTGGGAGAGTAACCTCAAACCTAATTCCCATTAATGACCCAAACAAATGACAGTGTCCGTAGCAGGTCCGTACCAGCACGTATGTAATGTTGGAACAGCTGGCCTGACCCTACACATGTTTTGGGGAATGCCCCAACACCAATAGTCACTGGTCAGATAGTGCAGCTGCAGATACCCAGTGCCAAGAAGTTTTAGCCCTCATGTTCCACCGACCTCTTCATTTTCAGTAGTGACTTAGTGTGGAATGTATATTGCTGTGTTTAGACCAGTCAATGCCATAATAATGTATGCAAACTCAACTATTTGTAATGATCTATCAATGCCTATCAGTAATGATCTATCAGTGTCTACAGCTGTATGCAAACACCTCTGTTCAAGAAGAGCCTGGGTTTGATTCCCCGGCCGGGAGACCAGTGTCCTCTCTGTGTGGAGTTTCCAAGTTCTCCCCATGTCTGTGTGGGTTTCGTCCCACAGTCCAAAGATATGCAGTCAGAACAGTTGGAGATGCTAAGTTGCCCCTAAGTGTGAATGTACTTATCTGTGTGTCTGCCCTGTGATGGACTGGCGACCTGTCCGGGATGTTTCCTGCCTTCCGCTGGGATAGGCTCCAGTTCCCTCCATGACCCAGAAGGATAAACAGCTTAGAGGATGGATGTGTGGACTTTTTATTGTGTTTGACAACAGGGGTGGGGAAAGTCAGGGGTGTGCTTAGTTGATTTTCTAAGTGGAAGTGAGTACAATGGCATTTTACTGCAAATTTTAGTGCACAAAATGTTTATTTACTCTGTTTAACATAAAAAAAAAACTCAAAACATAAAATGTGCTATAACTTTTTCACATGCCACATTTTGTTTTATTTTTCCCCAATATGTTAATTTTAGCAAATAAACAGTAATTTTGCATTAAAATGAAAATGCAGGAGTGTGTAGATGATGTTCTTATTTTCACTTCAACACTCCAATACATTGTCAACAAAATGTGTAGGGATGCACACTTTTGTATACATCTGTAAGGATTGGTCTATTAGTATCTATCTGCAATGATTAATCTATAAGTATCTATCAGTAATTGTTGATCTATTAGCATTAGAGATCAGAATGTTTAAATATACAAATAGTCATTACAATTTAGCTTCTCTCTAACAATTTACATTCTCATATTTAAGATGTTTTGGTTAGATTTTCCTATCAGTTTGCTCAAAAAGGGAAGATTAGCTAGATTAAATTAGAAGATTATTCCAAGTAATACCAGGTAGCTTGATAAATGATTACAGCTGACTTAAGTTTGCACACATCTGAACACATCTTACCATATTACCTTTTTCACCCAATGATGCTGCTGAAGAGAGCTCGAACTCAAGTGGGCTACAGGCTGAGAGGAAACTTAGAGTGATATACTGAGAAAATAATTCTTTGAAAATGAACAATTAACTTGTTAATAACTATCAGATTATAGGTAACGTTTTCAGTCTGGAGCAGTTGAACATCATCTTGTTGAGACTGAAGTTGGTTTCTTCTTCACATGTTCTGTTCCTCCTTAAATGATGCAGCAGTTACCTTAAATGTTGTGCAGGTGCCAGAATGTAACTGCAACACCATTTAAGATGGGCCAGGAAATCTGAATAAAAAGCTGGTGAATAAGAGGCCAACTTCAGCTTCATCCTCTTTTCCACAGTGATCAGTGAAAAACATTGTTTATTTTCATTTTCATTCCTTGTACTGCTTCTAATCCTTGTTTATTGCAACCCTAATTACAAAGGAAATGAAGAGTTTCCTTTTCCGTAGCAGTTAGCATGTGTACAGTGGCTACTGAGCAGAGTTGGCATATCATAAAGGCTGGTTTTTAAACAAACTTACGCGACTCAAACTCTTTCATGCATTACATGTGCTTCCATTAAAATGCCCTTTGAGCCAAGTATGATGAAAAAAAGGAGTTGACAGAGTTAAAGAGTTGACTCCAAGCATTTTGACTCTCAGAGTTACCGGCCAAGATTTGACCCTGATTCCCAAACATGTTGAAGTCTTTTAGAATCGACTCCACGTCACTTGCCAGGTAGCAGACAGTACAAAGCGCAGCTATAGCACATAGGAAGCATTGCAGAAAAGGGCCAATAAACAAGAAGCTCAAGCTCATTTTACACTCTACACACTTAAAAATTATGGTTCTTCAAAGGTTCTTTAGTGAAGACATATAGAACCATGAACACAGGGTTCTTTGCATCATGAAAGTGTTCTTTAGATTGATGGAATCAATCTAGAATGTGCTGTAGTGTGTTGGTGCTTTATAGAACATTTTTGAAAATGGTTCTATATGCACCAAAAGGGTTCTTCTATTGTAACAAGCCTGACATCGTTACAATAGCAAACCCTTTTCAAAAAAGGTTCTATATAGTACTACCTACAGCAAATCCTCCATCAATCTGATGAACGCTTTTACGATGCAAAGAACCCTTTAATCATCTTTATAGAACCACTTTCTGTACTAAAGAAGCATCATTTTTAAGTATGTACTCATGTATGATTTAAAAGAATAAAACTTTTAGCATCATTCACTGAATTTATCACGATTGGTATTAGCTGGCTAACTCTTCACATAGCAGCTGTTTTTAAGTGAAAATGTATGAGGTGAAATGCCATGTGACTACACTAGTAACGTTAGCTGAGGTACCAGATAATTATCATCTCTGTTTATTTTAAAGTCTTTAGATTGGCTGCCTTTACAGTGTAAAAACTCAAGCCATATCATCTACTGTGGATTTAATATAATACAGTAATAGTGAGATTTTGAATGGCATCACTAGACGTCTGCTAGTGCTTCCAGTGTGCGTTAGCCTTGTAGCCTAAAGAGTCCTATGGGTGTTTTTTCTTTTGGAGTGGATTACTATCCTTTTTTGTTTTCTGGGGTCGGTCTGGGTTTACTCAAATTATGTATTACAAGTTTGAAAATCAAATTTGGCTGAAAAGCTCATCACCGTTTAGTATAGTTAGTAATGGCCTATCAGTTTCTATTAGTAATAGTTGATCTCTCAGTTAACTCACACACACCTACAGCACATAAACTGTAAATTTGTCATCATTTCCTGTGTGCAATATAACCAATACTCTGCGTGAAATACATATAAAATATCTCTACAGTGTAAAGATTTTATTTGCTTTTCTATTTATAATGTTTATATTGTTAATTCATCACCATTCCTATGTGCAATATGATCAATCCTCCAGCAATACTCCATGTGCAATTCGGGTGAAATATCCTTCCAGTGTAAATATTTTTTGCTTTTTTATTTATAATTGTTCATATTGACGATTTTTGTGAATTGAGTTTATGTGAAGGATAGAGTTTATATTTTTATCTTAAAGTTTTTATCATTTTATTTGTATCTTTACTATTATACATATTGTCTATATAGTAACAAGTAACAAACTGTTAATTACTTTGTTTGTTAATTCTCTTCTTGTTACTTCTTTTCTTGAGTGCCTTGCTATCCCTTTGCTGCTGTAGCACTATGAATTTCCCCATTATCGGACTAATAAAAATGATCTTGTCTTATGATTTATCAGTATCTATCAGTAATGATTTACATATCAGTATCTATTAGTAATAAACTATCATTAATAGTTAATGGATTTGTGGTCTACATCTCTATTAATAATGATCTATCAGAGTTCATAATACCAGTATCTAAAAGCAATGGCCCAGTAATGACTTGCTAGGAATGAACTACCATTATCAGTAAGGATTTATCAGATCACTTACTATTAGTAGTAAGCTATCAGTATGAGATCTATCAGTAATCAATCCATCAGTAATGATACCCAACATAATAATAGACAAATATTTTTCATTTATCAGATTTAAAAACACAACCAAAATGTTAATGCAGAATAAACCTAAGGGTAATGTGAGCACAATGTGCGACATGAAACAAACACTAAAATAACAGAGATGATAGACAACTAGCTGGCCTGTTTTTAATGGTGTGGTGATCGACTATTCACTGCAAACCATAAGCTGTGTTTATGGAGATGGTTTATGGAAAATGGCTGGCTGTGGGTTCTTGGAAATTAATAAAGAAAAAACACAGCATTCATTCACAGTAGTTTAAGATGCATAGATTAGGATGCCCAGAAATAATGTTACCAATACATTGACCTATCACGTCATCCCCTAAGGACTTACTGAGGAATGACAGAAAAATATCAAAGCTGCTTTGGCTCCCATAGCTTATCCCACTTAGGAATGGCCTTAAAGGGATGATGGAGCACGGTGCAGGTTTTGGTTGTCTGACTAACAGAAAGCTTATAAACACACACTCTGCCATGTGTATAATCACTTGTGGTAATACGGCTCTGAAGATATTTGCAGCAGTGCAGAATTTTTATGAAAACGATACCATGCAGCTGTGTTAATTTACAGGAAAAAAAAAAAACACATGGATTGATTCCGCAGAGAAAAATGGTTTAATCTCTGAAGAAAAAAAAAACATCTTTGCAATTCAGCTGCCTGAAAACAAGGCGCAGCTGAGAATCGCACTTCAAAAACTTTTCTTACAAAATAAAATTAAAATAAAAAGCAGGGTTTTTTTTCTTCTTCAATACATTTCTGTCATAAGAAACAACTGCAAAACTGTACAAACAAGCTTTTTACAAAAGCATTTGAGACTTCCATTGTAGAATGTTCTTTCACATTTCTTTCTTTTTTTTTGTTTACACATTTACCATGGAGGTCTGCTACATTGTGACCATCAACCTTAAGGCATAAAAATACAAGAAAATGTCATTTTTAAGACATTTTAAGAGACGAGGGCGACGAAGAGGGAAGTGGCTCGGGGAGCGCAAGTCCAACTTTAGCCCTCTGTACAGATTTGAGAGTTCCTGTCGTGGAAAGCAGAAGGAGAGAAAGTGAGAAGTTTGAGGCAGAGTCTGCTGTGCCTGGTTACATAAAAACCCATTCTGATCCCTTGATTATCCCTTAAGGAAAAGGTCGGAGACCACCCTTCACTTACTTCATTTCCAGTCAAAACAGCCATTAAATACAAGCTGCTCATTTGTCAGGACATGTTTCTGAGGAGATGTAAGATAATTCACTTGCGTAAGGAAGGAGAAAGTCAAATGAAAATAGGTGAAGAAACAGGAGTTTCCAAAAGTGACAAAAACAATTAAAAAATTAATATGTCTGAGTTTAGAAAATGCAACCAACTTCTAAGACTGAACTTTTGGGGGTGTTGAAAGGCATCACAACAGATTTCTTTAAAAAACTGAAAAGAATTAATTCTGTAATAAAGGCAAAGTCTGGATAAACTAAATACTTAAAACATTTGGCCTTATATTTAGTTTCTCAGACTTCTGTGTAATTTGACTATATTTCTATGCATTCCTTTGTTTCCTGACACTAAAAGATGACAATATTTTATATAAAAAGAAAACAAAAAACACTTAATGGCTGTTTTGACTGGAAATTAAATAAATGAAGGGTGAATTTTGCACAGAACTGTAAGCCTGTTGCATAAAGCAAAATGTTTTAAAATGTTTTCCTCTCTTAAAGCTCTTAAATACTTTACTGCAGTTTTTGCTGCATTTGCTAGGGAGTTTTAATGCTGATATTCACTTTATAGTGCTCTGTCACTCTGTCACATAACACAAAATGCTGTGTTATGTGAATAGTACATAACACAGCAACTACCCAAACAATTCCAGTTACAGAAAAATCATAGTGCAATTAAAACTTGCATTATCTGCAGAAGTGCATGTTTGTTGAGTCAATAATTTTTGTTAAATCACAAAACACATCTACTTGTCTCCATTCAAATGATGTACGGGGTTTTCTCTGTCAAAACGCTCTTTGTGGGACACTGCATTCATTGGTGTGGTGTAATGTGAAAAATGTCATTTCAGAGAAACTTACCAAGCCAGAATAGTTCACAGTGGTGGTAATAGGAACCAGACGTCTTTAGAGTTTAACGCCTATAAAAGCTACATCACAGAAAGCGACTACACAAAATGTTGACAAATATGTTACTTGGTTCTCTGAGACTGGCTGTGTTACGTTTTTGGCCTAAAATATTCTTTTATACATGCATGGTGAGCTACATGCAGGGTGTTGTGAGGCCTCAAAGAAAACTTCTTCTTTCAGATTTACCACTATTTCATCACTACATATAAAACACTAAAGACATTGAGACTCCTGGTTCCTATCACCACCACTGTAAAGAAATAAGTCTGTAAGTTTCTCTACAATGAACCAGTTCACATCAAATCACTCTCAATGATTGTTTACTTTGTACACTAAGGCACAGGACTACACTTAAGGAGGGCCTTCTAAGGATTAGAGCTGACTGATGTGAACAATATACCGGTATTGTGATTATATTGCTACATACAGCAATTGGGATATGCTTGAAAGTTTTTAAAATGTACTGGTATCAGCCATAAACATAGTTGAAGATTGGCCTGCATTAGTGTGACCAAAACAATTATCATTAGATTATACACCCACAGAAACATTCATTTGGCTACTCAGCATATTGCAGCCTTCTGTGATTTAAGTAATGCGAACAGAAACATCACAATAACAATTAACAGACAATATATTGTGCAGCCCTATCATTGGAAAAACTTAAGGAAATAATTTAAGAAAATACTGAACTTTTAGGGTTTTTATGCAACCGGGCACCGATTTATAAACTCAGCAGTCCACATGGAGAGACAGGGACAAAGACAGGCTGTTTCTGTCTGGGTTCCTCCAGACGAGGCTGTTTGTGTGGTTTTCTGGAAAGTAAAGTCACAGTGTTTCTCTCAGTCTGTGTCTATGTGGCAGGGGTTGGTCCCTCGCTCTTGTGCGTCCTGGTACAGCTGAAGGAAGTCCCTGTATCTCGGGGCACAGCTCAGCCACGCCTCCCCGAAACGCACTGTCCCAATAAAGAGGAACTCGCCCTCGCCCGGCTTCACCCCACACTTGCGGGGCATCTTCACCCGGCCTGTGAAACGCTTGGCCCGTCCGCCTCCAGACACAAACACCTGACTCTTCTGCCTGTACAGACGAGTCAGTGTCACGGCAACTGATGTCTGCTCTTCCTCCTGCTCCACCCCCAGAATGCTGCCGCGGCCCACTGCAGAGAGAGAGAGAGAGAGAGAGAGAGAGAGAGTATGTGAATGTTAGAAGACTTAAAAACCTATATTACATTGTTTTCCCTGTCATAGTAACAGTGTGAAACCATGGTAACCAAAACTGTTAGCTTGAGATGTTCACAAGTTACTTCATGTGAGTCCAAGTTGTGTTTTTAGTCTCTGGGGTATGAGTGCGAGTTGAGTCTTGAGTCTTTAGTTGAAAATTTAGTTTAGTCTCATTATTAGCTGTAGGCACTACGAAAGTACAGCCCTACTAAATACAGCCTCAAATAATGAGCCTTTATTATAGGAAATCCTTCAGTCTGAACGACTAACCTGGAGTACTTCACACAGTAAATGAGGTTTTTAAAGGAAAAAAGCAAAACAACTTAAAACGGTTGGTTAGTCTGTATAGCAAACAGTTCATACAGCAAATATACTAGCTAACTAGTGTAAAAGCTAATCCTTACGTCTCGAATCCAAGTCAGTGAGGGTGAGTCTGAGATGAGTTACGAGTCAGTTAAAGGTGAGTCTGAGTTATGAGTCAGTTAAAGGTGAGCCTGAGCTGAGTTACAAGTCAGTTAAGGGTGAGTCAAAGTTACGAGTCAGTTAAGGGTGAGTCCGAGTTGAGTTACGAGTCAGTTATAGGTGAGTCCGAGCTGAGTTATAAGTCAGTTAAGGGCGAGTGTGAGTTGAGTTACGAGTCAGTTAAAGGTGAGTCCGAGTTGAGTTTCAAGTCAGTTAAGTTTGAGTCCAAGTTGAGTTATAATTTAGTTAAGTGTGAGGCAGAGTTGAGTTACGAGTCAGCTAATGGTGAGTCCGAGTTGAGTTACGAGTCAGTTAAGGGCGAGTCCAAGTGAAATTACAAGTCAGTTAAAGGTGAGTCCGAATTGAGTTATGAGTCAGTTAAGGGTGAGTACGAGTTGAGTTACAAGTCAGTTAAGTGTGAATCCGAGCCGAGTTACGAGTCAGTTAAGGGCCAGTCCATGTCAAGTCAGTTAAAATGTGACCTGAGTGTGACTCAATCCGAGTCACTGTCTCTGCTGATAGCCATAAGTAGTACAGGCAAAATTGCTAAGACAGGTATCTAAGGCAGTATAGTAACATACTATATAGCTTGTCAAAAATATGTGAACACCTTTCATTTTCAAAATGTTTTTAATAAATGAGGATATTTTCTTTGTTACTTTGCAACAACTTCACATATTAAACAGGAGGCAGTTTAGATCTTGCTATCTTTCTTAGTAAAAACTTTAGTTAAAAAAAACAGTTTGCTTTGTTGGAAATATTACCAAACCTCACCCATTTTATTCCACTGTTGTGATGTCCGAATGATTAAGTGAACACAAAAAAAATCACTAGTTGTTGACTGAATATTACTTGGATTTATTTTAATATTAATATTTTGTTTGGGTTAAATAAATGCTTACTGTTTAGATAATTCGCATTTTAATTATAATTTTGTCAGGTGGCTAAAACGTTTGCACAGTAGCTAACGATAGTAGAAAGTGTTGCTTACCAAAGTCGCTGGTACAGACAGCCAGAAGCAGTTCAGCATCAGTGCAAGGCTGGCAGGATGCTGTAGGGAACAACACATACATTCATGAGTCAAATCAGAAACATGACTCTGTGACAAACTTAAGCACCAGAACATGGGAGGGCCGAGCTGTTAAACATGATAACCAATGACCTTGAGCGTTCTATTGCTTTCATTCAACTGTTTTGCCAAAGTAAAGAAAAAAGGAGCACAAAAAAGCATGAAACAATGTTTCAATTATATTGTTTTCATCATCGAAAGTTACCACAAGTGGCATGTTTTGACCATCATTGTTACTTAGTAACCATCAGTCAGTGGAATGATACAGGTTATCTGTTGTTATCACATATAATAACTCTACAATCTTTTCAATCAATCAGATTGTGTGGTCACAACTAACTATTGTATAAAAACCACTAATCATTCCTGGACCTACAATCCAGATCACAGATTATTCTTCCAGGGCTTGTAACAATGGCCTTAATCACAAACCTGAGCTGCCTGCAGGATTTTTCATTGTGCAATGTGCAGAAAGAGCTGGCTTTTATAGAGCTTGTTTGTTTAATTTGTGCATGAGATCACACTGGCTGTGAGGCCATTGCTGCCCACAGTTTCATTACTTAACAAAGACCTGCTGCTAAATCACAAACACACTGAGCTCTGTGCCTCAGGCACAAGCCACACGTACGCAAGGACACACACACACACATATACACACACACACATACACATGTATAATACTGTGTAAAAGTCAGAGACTTCCTTCATTTATTTAATTTCCAGTCAAAATCGCAAAGTGCAAGTTATTCAGTTTTCAGGAGATATTTCTGAGGAGATGAGATACGAGATAACCCACTTGCATAAAGAAGGGAAAGGTCAAAGGAAAATATGGAAATAGGACCCCTAACAACCTGCAATGGCTGGTAGACCACCAAATCTGTCACCAGCACTTTCATCTTGGAGAGAGAGGAGAAAATCAAGCTCCACTCTTGTTTCAGATCTAAAAAATCCACAGGTGTTTCTGTCCATCCTTCCACTGTGAGAAAACAACTCAACACTATGAGTCTGAATGTGGACATGTGGCTGTGAAGAAGCCCTTACTGAGAAAAGAAAACAAAAAAGCTGCTGGTGTTCTCAGAACAATAGACTGGCCACCCCAGAGTCCAGACCTCAACATCACTGAATACATCTGGCATTACTTGGATTGCGAAAAGCAGAAAATGCAACCAACTTCTAAGACTGAACTTCCCTACAGATTTCTTTGAAAAACAGAAAGCAAAAAGAGTGAAAACTGCAATGTCACTTCCTTAAATATATCCCAATGCTGAAAAAAAAAGTTTATTCAATGGATGTTTTTACTGGAAATGAAATAAATGCTGCAGATGGTTATTTATTGACCCTACACTACTGACTGTCCTTGCATTCATGGTTTTCTGATTTCCAGGCACACTGAGCCATTCAGCTACATGTAGTAAAAACTCCTCATTAAAACACAAAAGCAACAGGCCCAAGGGGGCGGGATCACCTTGAAAAGAGAGCTGCCACTAAAAACACACATACAGAGAGCCTGCACACTCCACAGCAAATGAGAACCAGCTGATTCTATCTGAAAACAATGCAGCACTATGACCAGCAGCACTAGTGAAAACTTTAAGAGGATTGTGCACTAGTACACTGTAAGACGCTTAAAGCACTGCGTGTAAGCTAATGACAAGGCACGGCAAAAAAAGCTCCATGTGATTCCAAGAAAGCAATCATTGCAACTGAAACTGCAGTTTATTTGTCTTCTTGAATTAAAGCAGTGCCCAAAGCCACAGCTCCTGAAACACTGCGACACTGTGTGTGTTGGCAACTCTGACTGGGGGGAGTCTTATGGAAGTGTTGAGCTGGCACAGGGCGCGCTTGCTGCTGTCAGGTCAAACCCTGTCTTTTCCGTTGTATGAACATTTGGTGATGAATGGACCAATAGAAATGGTCAAAACGTCTTAAATAGTTATACGTATATAATTCCATATACTTAATATATCAATATACGTTAAAATATATTTTTTTTAACCATCTAGGGATGAGTCATAATTTTCAAATATTCAACCAGTCATGAAAGTTTAAAACATTGGACTTTAGGTAAGCAAATTAGCTTCTTGCTAACGTTATGTATTGTTATATTTAAGAACTATAGATGTCTGAACTTTCTGGAACCTGAAGAACCTTATGTCTTTATGTTTTTGTCAGAGTTTCTTATCTGTTTCGTCTAAAGAAAGAAGCATAAAAACTACAAGCCACCTCTTTAGCCACCTAATTAGCAAGCTAACTCATTAACCTAACTTGCAAGCTCCCTAGCCAGCTAGCTAATGTTAGCTCTGCTAGGTACTGTACTATCTCGCTCAGGAGAAATACAGACTACTAACAGACCTTATCTGAATGAATCAAACAGTAGCATCTGCAGTTCTTTTAAGGGATTTGTTCTGTTTTGTGAGCTGAAATTTGAGTGGTGCACAATGCTGTACCACTCTGGAAAAGGGTGCGCTTTGGGGGTTAGCTAATGTTAGCTAACTGCACACAGAAACACTAAGAAGGCTTGTTAGGGTTTAAATAATTGACTGCGGCTAATTATAGTCAATGATTTTTGTACCATTTTCAACAGTTTTGCTTAGTTTTATGAACTGAAGTGGAAAAACCGATTGGTGTTCTCAACATGGCTCAGGGAGGAGCTGAAGGCATGGATAGCATCTGACAACAGTGACTGGTTAACAGGAATGTTGTTTCAGCAAAAACAAAGGGACATGCTGTTCTTCTGTATGCAGGTCTATTACAAAATTCAACACGGTTCAAGATGTGTGGTGTAGCGAAAAGCCTGAGCCTCCGACATTCAGGTGCCTGAGTGGACGGATTTATGTACTGCCGTTTGCTTTAGTGTGGACCGGGGTGCGGTCAGGACATGGCAGGGCTGAGGACTGCTCTGTCAGCAACAGCAACGGCAGGCTGTGGTCAGAAAGCTCTCAGATCCTCCACACATGGCCGAAACGTTTAGCCGTCTGTTAGTGCAGGTGGGTAAGGGCCTTACAAACAACACTGGGGTGGTGGTGGTGGTAGGGGGGTATTAACAAGCATGGCATAATGAGTTTACGAGGGCAGAAGTGCAGGGTTCACAAAGGGGGAGAGAGAGAGCAAGATATTTTTGCTGTTTGCCCTTCTTTCCACGCATTGACTTGAATAGTTTCTTCCAGGAGAGCCACAGCAAGAAAAGTGATTTAAAATAGCTGCCTATCTTCACACAGCTTCAAGAGCATGACCCTTTTAGCATATGGGTTATTTTGGGGAAAGGCTTGTCTGGGCTGGAGGATGGCTGAGTGTGTACAGCGAGTCAAAGGTCAGCTGCTGTTGCAATCCAAGGCACAGCGCACCATTGACAGGGTCAGAGGCCATCCAGGCATGCGCTTACCAACAGCAGCTGACGGCCCAGGTTTCAGGGTCTGTAACCTCTCAGCTGACTGTGTAGGGCTGGGCGATATCACAGCTTTATCACAATACATTTTGCCATTTCATTTGATTTTAATAACTATTAATAATCATTGTATGCATTTCCTAACGCTCAAATTTGAACTCTAAGTAGTATTTCCTTGTCCACATTTTAACTGAATAATGATCTCTTTTTTTTCCTCACTCATGACCTTTTTTGCACTTCATAAGTTCAACACTGAAAATAGCTAGCCAACTAACTCTCATGACTCTCCTAATAGCTCTACTAGTTTGTGCTGTTGCAAGTGAATGGCTAGACTTCTTCTCCCTTGAGAATATTACAGAAACATCGCTTGCTTGTGTACCAATCAAGCAGCTGTTCAAAGTTCAAGCTCTTGCTGCTAATACTGAATTGAGTAAAAGAACGACACATTTCATTTTCCTGAAAATACCTCAAATGTGTTTCTAAAAAAGTTTGATTTTTTAGAATTATCGCTATCGATTTATCACCCAGGCCCACTGTCCAGATATTGATCTGGAGCATTCCTTACTGTGGCGTGCATCATCGTGACGTTTGCCGCCATAGCCTTTCTTGTTGTGGCGTTTGTCGCCGTGGCATTTGTCACCATGGTGTTTGTTGCCGTGGAGTTTGTCTCTGATCGCTAGCTCAGAATCTGGAGAGCAGAAGTCTTTCCCTCTCCGAGTTCTGCTGTGGCTCTGATGTCGGAAAGTTGAAAAGGAACCGCAGGAATGGGCTGGCATCTGAGTCAGCAGCCCTGACCGGCCCACAAAAACGCTGCACAGCCGTCAGCTCAACCACTTCACACACAGCCAGGGGCTGCAGGAATGGGGGGACAGGATCCCTTCAACATCTGGACCCCGCTGCATTCCTCGCTAATGGAGGAAAGCTTCATAAGCTCCATTCTTCTTGCCATCCCCACCACTTCAGAAAAGAGGAGAAGAGAGGGGAAAAGAGGAGCGGAGAGGAAGACAGAGTTGGCAAAAAAGATGAAGATAAAATGTCCTCCCAACATCTGGTGTCAGACACATTCCACGGTGATGGAGAGCAGCGCGGTCCCAGCTCAGCAGGTTAGCTCTCGTGAGCTGAAGAAAGACAACAACCCGACTGCAGAAAGAAAAACAGGTCACCTTACAGACCTGAGGGATTCACTGCACGCCTGGATTCTTGGGTTAGCCAGCTTAAGTTGACGCCAAGTAGAGCTTTGCAGTTCTGCCTAAGATCATAACTGTTTTTCATTTTGAGCAATACCGCTATTGCTTAATATTGGAGATGCAATCAGTAACTGTGATTCATCATCACTGGCACAAATAAAATACAAGTATAAATCTGACTAGGATCCAGTGAACATACAATATATGTCCCAAAAGTATCTAGACACCACTTCCAATGAATGATTTCAGCTACTTTCAGGTGCAGCCATTGCTGACACAGGCGTTCAACTGCACACACAGCTTGTATAATCTCCTTAGAAAAGTACTGACCAATAGAGTGGGGCGCTCTAGAGCAGTCAGACATGAGTCTACGGTCACCATGTCTAATGCCAAATGTTGGCTAGAGGGGTATAGAGCCCCCCAGCATTGGGCTATGGAGCAGTGAAACTGTATTCTCTGGGGTGATGGAGCTCCATCTAATACTACCGAGATGTTTTGCAGTGGAATTTGTGATCTAGAACTAGTTATCCAGTGCTAAATGCAATCAAATCCTCATAGCAATGTTTCAACATATATTGTAAAGCCTTCCCTGAAGAGGCATTTACTGCAGCAAAAGGGAGACAAACCCCCCTATTAATATCCTTGCAGAAATGCTGGATGAGCAGGTGTTTACAGTCTAGTATAGTACAGTAGGACAAGCCATGTACAGGGAAATGAAACACTTGTCAAGACCAAACTTTCCATTTTGCTTAATTGCGGCCTCGGTTCTAAGCCTTGGGTGAAATTTGCACAATTTTTCCTCTACCCCAAATTCCGTCGCTCAGCCAAGGCATTTTTGGCCTCCAAGTGCAGCTAAAAAAGCAGTTAGCATTGTGCAAACTGCATGCCTAAATCATCAGACACTCGCCTCAAACCGTGTCAAATTGTTGTGTAATCTCAAACAGACTTGCTTATGTGGTTTTGGACACTGTATGACATTTATTGATAATAACGGAAAATATTATTGACAACGCTGAGTTCCCTTTCTAGCCCCAGCAGTACATACTGGTATAGCTGTATCTCTTCACTGTCCAAAGAAAAACAAGTATCTCCAAATTAAACTTTGCATGTAAGTATGTAAAGAGGTTTTATTCCAAGTGATCTTGGAATTTCTATTTCCATTTCTATTTGTCCATTAATCATGACATTTTGACACAGTACAAAGGGCAGCTGCTGTGTTCAAATAATGTAGAAAAATAAACATTGAGAAAAATGGAGATAAATGTTTTTTTTTTTGGACAGCGAAGATATCTCCAGTCCAACTGCTGGACGCCAAACATGTGGCTAATAGAGTGCAACCTGAATCTCGCTGAATCCTTCTACATCCTGAGACAAACTGGCCTCAACAAACCACAGGCAAATACCATACAGAGGCTTCCAGCCTCAAAATACCATTTCACTATCCACCCGTACCCACACCATTAATGACCGCTGTTTATCAATCCTAGTTTGACATGCTAACTCTGAGGACGTGCAATGAGAAACATGTACTGAAGAGAGACATTTTTGTTTTGTTTGGAGTAAAAAAACAAAGCCACCTCGTATTAGCGCTGCTTGAAGCCGTGCGATTTTGGCAGGTGCGCAGTAGGAAAATAAGAAAACCCCTGTTTTGAAAATGAGGTGGGCTCCCCACCCAGCGCACATCACGAGTATCAGCAAGCAGCTGCCCACAGCGGCTCAGCGGGACTCTGACGTACACTGGATCGCTAGGAAAACAAACTATATGCCGTTTCACTATCTAACAGCAAACACGGTTCATATTGCAGTGGCTGCGCTGTTAAAGGATTAAAGTTAAGAAAAATTAGGGCTGGGACGAAGTCATTTGAAAAATCAATAAATCAGCCCTAAAAAAATAACTGCAGTTTTCCCCTCAACATTACTATGTTGTGAAATGTGAATTTTATTCACATGCAACTGATTAGCGCATCTGCGTCATGTAAATTCAAAGCACCATTATTTTCAGTATCTTCTGTTCATTTTTATGAATAACAGTATGTCGTACAGTGTCTAAACCCACATGAGCAAGTCTGTTTGCATTTACTTAACAACTCAGCTGGCTACCAGTGACCTTGAAGTGTGAATTTCCATAGATTTGTTTGAGGAAAGTGATAATTTAGTTATGCTAATTGGAAGAGTATGAACTTCCATTACTTGTTGACTACATTATTACCAGTTCAAAACTAAAGATGATATTAAACATGACATTAAGTGTAAGTGGAAAATTGTGTGGATCTGATTTCTCCCCAAAAACATTCATTTAAACCATGTGGATCCAGAGATACTTTCTGAGGTAAAGATATCAGTTACTAAATGAGAAAATGTACATTTTCCATTCACTCATTCAAAACAAACAAACGCTAAGTAGAGGCCACATTAATAACCCTTTACCCTGAAACCACAGCAACAGAACGATTATAGAAGAACACATGAAGGGAATATAAACTTGCAAATCCAGAGGAGAGATAAAACAAAACAACTGTCCATCGTACCAGACAGTGAATTGGGGTCCACTCCAGGCCTGTGGCTGACCAGTTCATACTGGAAGGCCGTGATTTTTCGGCTGATGTCTCTCTGGGGCAGGGCTTCGATGAAGAGCGCTCCCTCCTGGATACTGAAGCAGTGCACCTTCCCTTCAGCCTGCTCGCGTTCGCGGAGCAGCAGCCGCAGCTTACCCAGTCGGTCCAGGTAGATATGGGTTCCACTGGACTCGCGGGACGGCTTGATGCAGACGGAGAGCAGGCCAGCGGCTGGGGAGGCCGTGTTGGGTCGCAGGTTGACGATGATGGCCCCAGTTGGGTACAGCCACTCCAGGGAGCCCTGTGAGCACCGGAGATACACCTGCTCCACGTCCCGCGTATGTCCTTCATGGGTCAGCCCACTGCAGGATAAACAAGGGGGGGTAGGAACATTAAAGAAGATGTAGGGGGGAAATTTTAAATTCAGATGTGCTTTAACTTTGAGAGGTCGCAGATATCACCACAATAACAAAATCCATGGTGTAATTTGATACTATTTCTCAGTCACAGGTCACTGAATCCAACAGAGAAAATCTGTGGAAAGTGCAGATTCTAAACTTTCAATCCACATTTGTGTTTCTAAGCAGATATTTTATTCATATTTCAATTAAATGAAAAGTTATCATTGTCTATAGTCTTGTTATGCAGAAAAAAAGTACAAACTTGAACCTGTCAATGGCAAATACAGATGTAAATGTAATTCATTAGGCAACTAAGTGTAATTTACCTTGTAATTATGACATTTTTATACATCATTACAATACAGGACTTTTCATGAAACTCTTGTTTGATTTTTTTTATAAGACGTTTCTTTGGTGAGCTGTTATCCACTGAAGTCCACTGAATGACGGTGGTTGGAAATACTGTCAGTTTCACTTTTTAATAAAGACTAAGCATCAAAAGAAACTTCAGCACTTTAAGCTAATGACTGAGAAGGGTTTGTGCCTGAACTGCCTCCAAGCCGAGCCTCATGCCAGAGGATTGTCTCGGGGCTGAAAGAATGCAGTTAATATCTTCATATCCGCTCACACAAGGTGTTACAGCCATGCGCATAACCTGCTGCATGACCAGTCACGTGAAGACCACAGCTAGACCGATCTTTACACAACCGCACATACTAGACTGGGAATGGCACAGTATAAAGATTTCTGGTCCCAAAGCTGTCAAACAAGACACATTTATTACAGGCGATTATTTGCATTTGTCTTATTTACCCAAATTTGACCTTAAACAAAGATTTTTTTGCCATTGTGTTATAGCCATATGATTTGTATGTTTTACTTGTAATAATTATATTTAATACTTTCAATAATTCAATAACATTCTTTTCATCATGTGGATGCAGCATTCACATGAACTTGAACTAGGGTTAAACAATTTGGGGGGAATATCAAATTGCAGCTTTTCTGGCTACTATTGCAACTGTGATTTATATGCTATTATTTTCTATAAACTCAACTCCAGGCCTGTTTTCCACCAAGAAGGCCAGCACATCCATTCATCTATTGTTTTGGACTTGATGCTTGATTTTTTTCTGGTGAACCTCTTATATTACTTTATAACAGCAAAAATCCTTTACAGTTTAAGTAAATTATACCCAGCACATATTCTGTTTACTATTCAGATTATAACGGTGTAAACATGTTTTAGTGGTGCAAGCTTTGTAGTAAGACTGTAAACCTACAGTCTGTAACTGTACATCGTTTTCAGATTTATTAAAATGTGAAACACCATTGGATTTCATACTGTGTTATACACCATATGTCCACTATATGTCCTACTCATGCAAGGTTTCTTCTGAAAATAGGGAGTTTGTTCCTCCTTTGCTTCAGTAACAGCCTCTACCCTTCTGAAAAGACTTTACACTAGATGTTGGAACATTGCAGTGAGGATATGACTGCATTCAGCCACAAGAGTAGTGGTAAGGTCAGGTACTGATGCTGAATGACAGACACTTCAGCTCATCCCAAAGGTATTGGATAAAGCTTCATCACACCAGAGAACACAATGCTGGGGGGCTTTATACCCTCCTAACCAACACTTGGAATTGGGCATGGTGACCGTAGGCTCATGTGCGGCTGCTCCAGAGTGTCCCATTTTACTGGCACTGCTTTTCTGTGGAGATTATACAAACTGTGTGCATTAAACTAGCTGAATTCACCAATTAGAAGGCTGTCTGGATACTTTTTGCCATATAGTGTATCACTAAACCCAGTAACCCACCCATCCCTAGCACACAGACACACTCTCATCCACACTTTCTCTTTGTCACAACCGTTCCCTCCAACGCTTTGGCAAGGCCGACCACTGGCGCGCTGCCTTGGGTAGGATTTTTGAAACCGAAGTCAATGAATCCCGGGGACGCACAAGCCTCGGCACAGACGAGTGCTGAAACAGTAGCCGAGGCCAGAGCATGCAAGTGCAAATGCAGGTCACGCACCCAACCTCCCCCAGCTTTCAGCTCCTCAAAGAGCCTGGAAGCTCCCCGTCCGGCACAAAGAGCCCCTCTCCACCACCCCGGCCGCCATCCTCCACAGGGCTGCAGCCTGAGCTCAGCGGCTCACTTCCAGCTCCGCACAGAAAAAAGAGCCATCTGCCTCCAGGGATACTGGGTATAAAACCCCATGATAATTATACAGTTTCAGATTTTAATCATTCTGATAAACACATACAATCGCTGCCTTTTTAAAAAGTCGCAGTGAAAGGAAATAATGCATATTGCGTTGCGTTATGAGGAAATCTGAGAGGTTCAATAAAAACTGGATCAATGTGGTGAAATTTTAATGTGCTTTTCAACCTCTTAAATGGGATGCAAACTTTTATTGCACACCAAAATAAATTCATGTGGAATTCCACAGATTTTTCTAAATGTCTCCAAAACCGCCATTAAAGATACAGGCGTATTTTGAGCGTTTATATGTACCTTTCTGCCATCTGTGTTGTAGCTTTTAGAGACATTTAACTAAAAATTCAGACGTCTGGTTCCTATCACCACCACTGTGAACAACTATGACTTGGTAAATTAGTCTGGAATGGAGCATTTCACATTAAACCACCCTGAATGACTTTGTTTATCATACATCTTACCAAATGAATAATGCAGAAGTGTTGCAAGAATTCCCCTTTAAGCTGGTCTGTACTGTAGTCCATGAAGTTACTGAATAAAAAGCCTTAGGAAGTAACAAGCCTGGTATTTTTAGGGGCTGAACAGTAACCTTATACTTTAACAACAACATGATAATACTAAATACTAGAGGATGATGTGTATCTTCTATGCTGGTAATAGCAGTGTTGATAGAAAGTAAAAACTCTTTTTTTTTACCTGTTTACCTGCAATGAATGTCATTTGCAGCCTAATTTAGAATGCATTGAAATAACAGTTTAAATATATAAAAAACTAAATAAATTGTGAGATTCCTTTCTGGAAACGTCCTTTCTGTCTGGGTAACGTTTACACTGCTGTGTAAGATTCCTCTGTCAGGATTGTAAGACATTTCTTTTAGCATAGAGAACCAGTACTACCTTAAAATGAAACATCATCTGATAAGAAGCTAAGACTGTGGTGTTGAATTCTATCCATTCCCGCCTAACACTCCTGAAAACCGTTATAATTCTGATCACTGACATCTAGATAAGAAAAACTGCACATCATCCCATCCCTATCTGCCTTGTAGGCTCCAGTAATCCTGGATCACTGGATGTGGGCTAGCTGGAGACACCCAATCTCAGACAGCTTGGTTACCAAAACGAGTCATGGTGACTAAAATGGACGTGAATAACATGGCGAGAGCTGCACATGTGCAGCGCAGGCCCAAGGGAGCAACTCCTCTTTAATTAAGAGAGTCTGAAACACATCAGTGCTGTGTGCTGTAATGAGAGACCATCTTAAGGCCTGGCTAATCAACACCAGATTACTGTCACAGACTAAAAAGTGCTCCATGTTCAATCTCACACTATTGGGCTTTTATTGTGGTGGCACTGGTGAGGAGAGCCACCTAGTTTATTGCTATACTTCTTTTTAATGGGGCCAACTATTAGAAATGACAGAGGAAAGAAAAACAAACATGGTGCAGTAAAAAGGGCAGCAACTTCAGTGGCCTGAGGTAATTAACAAGCTATTTAAAAAAATGTATTACTGTGAAGTAGCATATAATATAACCTATGTTTATTGGTCAATAAGTGTATTATAGACTGTAGGCATAGATTTCCAGGCCTATTACAGGTCACGTCATCCAACTTTCTCTCTTACTTTCATATATGATATATAACTACATCCATGTCTGCTATGGTCACTACAAAACTCCTGAGATACCATTTAAAGACTGTTATTTCTTGCCAGAAGCACTTTTTTTCGAGGAAACAAGTAAACAAACTCTTGGAACAAAAATAGAACATATAACAAATAAAGAGTACATAATAAATACATCATTTTCATTTAAAAGAGAGAATTCAGTCATTTGATAATTACTAATAATGTATTTTGGTGTGGTTCCCCTACAGAGAAAAAGCAGTAGAAGGCCTACAGTAAGAGTAAGAGTGAGAGTCACAATTCAGTAGAAATGTCAGAAAAAGACTGGGTGAAATTAGTCATGCAGCTGGACAGCAAATGGGGGAAATCAGAGCTTAAAGACAGAAAGCTGTGAAAATGAGAGCAACAATCAAAACGGCCATTACTTCCAGTGCAACTACTACTAATAATAACATGCTAATAATAAAATAGGCATTGGCTACTATGTGTGATACTGCTACTATTACTCAATCTTCTAATAATAGTAATAATAACAATAATAATAATGACTGGCTACTAAGGATGGGTAATATGACATTTATCATTACTTTGATGCTTTGTTGAGCACATATTGTCACTAGTAGTTAAAGAACACTGAACAACTTCAATTTCACTACTGGTTTTGTCTTTTTTCTCATTTTCTAAGTGACCAATGGAGAAAAACAAAATATTATGCATATCATTTATCATAAAAATGTCTTTAAGTATCCTTATCTTATATTTTTTGCCCACCTCCTGGCTTCTACACTGTTAAAAAAGATGGTTCTTCAAAGGTTCTTTAGTAATGGGAATGGACCTATTTAGAACCATGAGTTCTACAAAGAATCACTTCATCTCTGCATGGTGAAATGGTTCGTCAGATTGATGGAGAATGTGTTGTATATGGTTCTAGATAGAAACTTTTTGAAAATGGTTCTAGGACGCACCAGAAAGGGATCTTCTACATGCTTAAAAAAGATGGTTCTTCAAGGATTCTTTACTAAGACAATAGTTCTGTACAGAACCATGAACACTCAAAGAACCATTTGCATGCTTAAATGGTTCTTTGCATGGTGAAACAGTTCTTCAGATTGATGGAGAATGTGATGTATATGGTTCTAGATAGAACCTTTTTGAAATGGTTCTATAAAGCACCAGAAAGGGTTCTTCTACACACTTAAAAAGACGATTCTTCAAGGGTTCTTAGGTAAAGACAATGGTTCTGTATATCCATTAACACTCTAATAACCATGTGCATGCTTAAATGGTTCTTTGCATGGTGAAATGATTCTTCAAACTGACAGAGAATGTGATGTATATGGTTCTTTATAGAACCTTTCTGAAAATGGGGTTCTGCTGCTATTACGATTTCAAGCTTGTAACAATAGAAGAACCCTTTTGGTGCTTTTTAGAACCATTTTCAGAAATTTGAAATTCTCAATCAATCTGAAGAACCATTTCACCATGCAAAGAACTATTTAAGCATGAAAATGGCTCTATATAGAACTTATGGTTCTAAATTCCCTTTACTAAAGAACTCTTGAAGAACCATCTGTTTTAATAGTGATGGCCACTATCAGAAATAGCAGGAAAAATGAACAAAAATTGACTATTATTTCTACTGCAGTGGTAAAAATGATGACTGACCACTTGCACTACTATGACTCCTAATAATACAGGCCACTACGATTCTGCTCCTACAAGCACCACAACTCATATTCTCAGTTATGTTACTGTCTGTTTTTCGGAAGAGCCGAGGGCTCTACGGCAGTCAGTCCTAAGCACTTCAGCAGTATATCAAGGCAGCCTGTCTGCCCCCCAGAATCCTACAGTAATTACTGGTCAGAAATAAATAACCTCCTCATAATACACAAATGAGCTCGTACCTGCCCCTCCAGCTGCACTGGTCGCTGGAGTACTGCGAGAGCGCGGAGCGGCACAGAGCGAGAGCCGCCAAGAGGCACGCCGAGAGCGGCCAGAGCATGGTGGCCTCCCCGCCCTTCTGCTTTCTTCTCCTGGGGCTTTTCTTTCACACAGCGAGAGGAAAATCCAGCGGCGAGACTCCGGCTGAGCCCCTACATCGTGTTTCCACTCCTATCGGCTCACTTTCAGCAGGTCCAGCTGTACTTTATGTATTTAAAACAGCAGTGCTCGTCCTCCTCCTCCACCTCACTCCATAGTTGGAGATGTGTAACGATACCGAATCGGTGAAGTTGTTTTTCTTTCTCTGTCGTTCACTTCTTCAACTCTTCTTCAACTTCTCCGCTCGGACTCCAGCGCTGCGTTCTTTCGCTCCGCCCGTACTCGAACAGGCCCCGCCCATCTGCGTGCTGATTGGCTAGTAGAGCGGGGACGCGTACAACTGCATCAAACTGTGGGTTATTTTTAATATAAAATACGAAACGCTCCGAATGTGAACTCATCAAAATTAACTACAAAATATACATTTTATAATGAGGTCATTAGATACGTAATTTTTAAACCTCACTATAAGCCTAACCTCGTACTAGGCTGGCTTGAAATATTGAAAAACATCCTTAAGGAACATTAACTATTATGTAAAAATATTGTAAATGCAATATCCATCATTAACTACAGTCACTTCTTTGTTAAAGAATACAAAAGGATCAGCCATAACATTCCTGTCTCTAGTTCCATTTCCTTGCCCACCTCTGCCTCTGCAGACTGTTCTCAAGGAGAGGGCACTAATACTCTAATTAGCTAATTCAATAGTTAGCAAAAATTACAGCTCTAATGCAGCACAATGACACTGTGCATCTACTTCATATTTGTGCGGGCAGTTTTTTAGTATTTAGAAAATGCAAAAATACAGATTTCTAAAGTGTTTTGATACAAATTATTTTTGCAAAATGAAAGTTAAAAATAATACTTTATATTGTAATACATGTAAATACATGCACTAGAAATTCACCTGTGGCTTGTAGTTCACACTCAGAACTAGTAGCCTATCAAGGCGTAGTGGGCGGGGCTTTGTCTTAATATGGGTGGGAAAACAATAACGCTTCATTTCAGCACCAGGCACAAATTAATAGTGGATACAACAGTGACTTATACTTCACTTTTCTTTCTTTCTTTCTTTTTCATGTCTTTCTTGTTTTTTCTTTATTTTCTTCTCTCTCTCTCTTTCTTTTTTCTTCGTCTATCTTCTTTATTTTCTTCTCTCTCTCTCTCTCTCTCTCTCTCTCTCTCATTTCTTATTCTTATTATCCTGTCTTTCTTTCTTTTTTCCTTTCTTTCTTTCTTTCTTTCTTTCTTTCTTTCTTTCTTCTCTCATTCTTTTTCATGTCTTTCTTTCTTTTTTTCTTTATTTTCTTCTCTCTCTCTCTTTCTTGTCTTTCTTTTTCTTTCTTCTTGTCTTTCTTCTTTATTTTCTTCTCTCTCTCTCTCTCTCTCTCTCTCTCTCTCTCTCTCATTTCTTTCTGTGGGCCATCCTGTCTGTCTTTCTTTCTTTCTTTTTGTCTGTCTTCTTTCTGTCTTTCTTACTTTCTGTCTTTGTTTCTTTTCTTCTCTCTCTCTTTCTTTCTTTCTTTCTTTCTGCCGTCCTGTTTTTCTTTCTTTCTTTCTTTCTTTCTTTCTTTCTGGCTTTCTTTGTTTCTTCTCTCTCTTCCTTCTTTCTTTGTTCTCTCTCTCTTTCTTGTCTTTTTTCTTTTTGCTCCTTCTTCCTTCTTTCTCTCTTTCTCTGTTTCTCTTTCTTTCTTTCTTTTTCTTTCTTTCTTGTTTCTTCTCTCCCCCCCGCTCTCTCTCTCTCTCTCTCTCTCTCTCTCTCTCTCTCTCTCTCTGATTTAAGCTTTAGTGTTATTATGTTTATTGTTCAGTTATAGATACTGACTCTCTCTCTTGTCCTTTAGTCCTTTGTATTCTACACTCTGAGCTGCACGTCACTCAACACTTGTCAAAGGAACTTGCAGGGTCTTGTTAAAACATGTGACTGTCGTATTTCCAACCACAACTTCATAGCAGGCTACAGTATCAAACCGCCTCTTCAGGAGCGTCTCAGGTACACAAGAAAATGAACTTACATGAGCAGCTTTTGTATTTACAGCCTGTAATTAAGGTGAACTGTGCAATAATTACAGGTGTAAATGTCTTGCTTCTTTCTCAAATGTTGAAGGTTGTAAGCAGTGTAGCTGGATTTACACTACAGAGAAGAGGACAAGCAGAGCTGAATATGTACTGATTGCTTTATGGAGTGTTTTTCTGAGCTGCTGTAGATGAAAGGTTGTCAACAGCAAACAGCTCTCGTGTTTTTCAGGCTCTTTTTTCCTCTCTAAGTTCAAGTGTGGCCAGATGAAACCCGTTAGACTGGAGAAACTTGAGCTGCCTAAAACAGTTACTTCGAAGAAGTTTTATAAGACATGGCGCTACAAGTTTGCGTGTGTGTGTCAGCATGTGTGTGACGGTATTTGTTTTGATATAGGCGCACGGTTGGCCTGCTGTTGGCCTTGTGAGATGACAAAGCTCCTCCTGAGAACAGCATACATGTTACGACAGGCTGAGCGAGTCAGTGACACCTGCAAAAGTTACACCTGCATCAGTCCGTCTCTGTCTGTTAGTGCGTGAATGTATTTAGCAATCTGTGGTGATCAAATGTCCCCAGGATGACACAAGACTGTAAAAGTGCTTTTGTTTCTCCAGAAATGGCAGCTTTTATTAAAAAATGAAGTAAATGAAGTTGACCCTGAGCTCTGCTTCATCCTGCTTGTGAACGCAGTCACTACAGTAGCTTTATATCATTTGAGAAATATTGCTGAAGCTGAAGCTTTTTCTATCTCAGAGTGACGCAGAGAAACTTTTTCATGCATTTGTTACAAGCAGAGTTGATTACTGTAATGGTCTTCTTACTGGGTTCCCTAAGAAAACAATACATCCTCTACAACTTGTACAAAATGTGGCAGCACTCAAACAAAAACAAAACAGAGAGATCATATGTCATATCTCACTCCCGTTTAGAAAGGACTGCATTGGCTACCTGTATCGCTCAGGGTAGATTTTAAAATTCTGCTACTAGTTTTTAAGGCTCTTTTAAATGACCTTAAAGCACCGCACTTACATCACAGAATGTCTGTCTGTTTATGTTCCAGCATGATCTTAGATCTGCAGACACTGACCTTCTGCAAATACCTTCTGTAAAATACAGAAAACATGGAGAGGCCTTGTTCAGATCTTAGTGCAGCTTTTGATAACATTGACCACAAGATTTTAATTCAACATTTTGAATGCTGGCTTGGCCTCTCTGGCACAGTTTTAGAATGGTTTAAATCGTATTTAGGTAAAAGGCAGTTCATGGTTTCAACTGGAAATTATTCATCAAAAAGATTTGACATTTCTTATTTCTTGTGGAGTCCCTCAACGTTCAGTTTAGGGCCTTTGCTTTTCTCTTTGTACATGCCAGCTCTAGGCGATGACATTAGGAAACAAAATATAAATTGTCATAGCTATGTTGATGACACCCAGTTATACATTTCCATTCCTTCTAATGATCAAGACTCTGAAGACAAGCTTATTAACTGTGCGTCAGATATTTCCCAGTGGATCTTGCAAAATTTTCTACAATTAAATCACAAAAAACAAAAAATGAAATATTGATCATTGGTACCGAAACTCAGAGAAAGCTGCTTTATGAAAAACTTGGTTCTTTAGCTTCTTATACCACATCTGAATAACTAAATCTGGGTGTGATCTTAGACTCTGAGCTCTGTTTTATCCCGCATGTAAACACAGTCACTAAAGAAGCTTCTATCATTTGAGAAATATCACTACAAGTTCAACCTTTTCAATCTCAGAGTGACACAGCAAAACTTGTTCATGCATTTGTTACAAGCAGAGTTGATCACTGTAATGCTCTTCTTACTGGGTTCCCTAAGAAAACAATACGACTTGTACAAAATATGGCAGCACTCAAACCAAAACAAAACAGAGAGATCATATCACTCCCATTTAGAAAGAACTGCACTGGCTGCCGGTATCTTTCAGGATAGATTTTAAAGTTCTGTTACTAGTTTTTAAGGCTCTAAATGACCTTAAAGCACTGCTTACATCACAGAATATCTGTTTGTTTAGGTTCCAGCATGTAATCTAAGATCTGCAGACACCAACCTTCTACAAACACCCTCTGTAAAATACAGAAAACATGGAGAGGCCTCGTTCAGTTATTCTGCTTCTAATCTATGGAGCTCAATTCCACCTTTTATTAGACAGTCAAGCTCAGTGCTCACTTTTAAGAAACATTTAAAACTATATCTCTTTAACTTAGCATTTAATTAACACGTTTTTCAGTATTTATCTTTCAATTTGGTCTGTGTCACTTTCTTATATGATTTTAAAATAATACTCATAATTTCGTATATCACTTTAAGCTTTATCAACTGTCTGTGAAGCACTTTGAGCTGCCATGAATAGTCTTATATAAATAAAGATTATTACAATGGATACCAACGTAAAAAGAACACTTCAATCAGAAATGCTAATGCTGCTAAAGTAAATAAAAGTGAATAGCCACCAATTAGCATTATAGGTACATGACCTCTGTTTTGATTGGCTGCCTTGTATTGTGCTATCAGACGGCAATGTCATGGTTTCAGTCTGGGCACAAACACTCATATCTTTGACTTGAATGGGCGGAGCTAAAACGCTGTCGGCCGAATAGGCATTTATGTACATGCGCTGGTTTTCGTGACATAACAAAAACAGCAAATTCAGAATGTTTTTGCAGCTTATTTTCTCTGTGTGGACCACATGTACTAGGAGAGTGAATGGTACGTTTGGAAGATCTTAGATGTGCTCTAAACACAGCAATTTTTAAAACCAGGTGAAAAACATTTCTCTTTTCACAGCTCTGAGGCTTACACATTATTCTTACTGCACTTTGTTTTAGCACTGCACCTTCAAAATTTATCATTTATTTCCTTTTTATGTTTTTGTAATTCGCTTGATGTACTTACTTTATATTATTAGTTTTATGATTTAAATCTATTGCACTTTGTATTTTTTGGGCCTTTGGTTTTTCTTTTTCTTTTTTGTTGTTTTTGCTTTTAGTTTTATAAAGCACACTGAATTGCCCCTGTATATGAAATGCCTTGCCTTGCATGTACATATATATGTATGTTATACTATCTCAAATGATTTGGTTTTATGATATGGGCCCTTTAAGGTTAGATCTAGGGTTATGACTTCACACCTGTTTCTGTGCATCTACTGAGACATTTCAGCCAGAACAAAGCTTTCTGTGACACTAAAACTATTATAAATTTCATTTATAAAGATGCTACTTCATCTCGAA